AGATTCCTTCCCTCTTGTCCCTTCTTGGGTACTTTTTGTCTTTCTTTTTTCTGTGCTTTTTTTTTTTTTTCCCCTTTTCTTTTTTCTTCTGTTATTACTCTCACAATGGGCACCGTCATGTAAGACAATGCTCCAAAATTTAGACTTCAGACAAGTCACCTGGCAGGTTCAGAACAGGAAACCATATGCTCCAGCTATACTACATCTTATTCTGCAGCTTGACAGCAGTAAGGAGTTCAAAAATCACTGTGATCATGCCTAGGAACACAGAGCAGAGAGCTGGAGTGAAATGACAGCATCCCTGAGAAGGCTTCTGTTCCTTATGGGAATGTCTGGCTTGCCAGCAAGGAGTTCAAGGCAAATTGTAGTCCTTGCTTGGCATCTTTTAAGTCTCTCATGCCCTTCTACGAGAGCTCCTAGATGTTAAGTGGGGTATTAAGCATCAGTTTTTTTTTCTCTCTCTCATTTATTTATTTATTTATTTTTCAATTGAGTGCTACTTGCAGCACTGCAATTATGCTGTTTTGCTCAAGTATCCCATTAATTTTCACTGTATAGACCAAGTGATACTGAGAAAATCTGTGGGAAGTCAACCACAGCTAGTATTTAACCTACCACTGGAGCAGAGCACGGCCAAACATTACGTATACTCATTTTGGTAGCCACCTTGAAAGGACCACAGGCAGGAAAACTTGAGCTGCTATATCATTTTAAAACTAAGGTATCACTCCAGGTGTTAGATACGCACTCAAGAGCCCATGAAGTCAAGCTCTTTACTATGAGAGTGGTGAGGTACTGGAACAGGCTATCAGAGAGGCTGTGGATGCCCCGTCCCTGGAGGTGTTTGAGGCCAGATTGGATGGGGGCCTTGGGCAGACTGGTCTAGTATTAAATGGGGAGCTTGGTGGCCCTGTCTGTGACAGAGGGAGGTTGGAGGTTCATGATCCTCGAGGTCCCTCCCAACCCAAACCATTCTGTGATTCTGTGTGTGATTCGTAGTTAGAAAAAAGACTTTTCTCAGACTGTGGAGTTGGATCAGGCTTCACACTGTAAGGGCAGTCAGCATCTTCATGGGAAGCACAGAGCTGGTAGCCCTCTCCTCAGATCCAGCATCAACCATGGAAGAGGTTTTTAATCCCAAGGATTAAGGGAGCCTTGTATGGCAGCAGCTCTTCAGGCCACAGGAAGAAGCCCCAAAACATGCTATGCTGTGGAACAGAAACAAGGGCTTCAACAAAGCCCAAGTATCTGACAGCAGCAACAAGGAAACCTTTCTTTCGAATCTTTTCTTTTTCTTCTAATACTTCTTTTGAAAAAAAGTGTGGCCATTTTTAGCCTTCTTTCAACCTGTTCTTGCATCAGAATCTGTTCCTGCTGCTCCCGATTTCCACAAACTGCTTCTACATACGAAGAAGCAAGGCTAACACTGGCAGTACTCTCTGTTTGGGAGTGTCCTTGTTTCATTACTTGGAGTATTCTAGGTTTAAACCTAATTGTGAGTTAAAAAAAGCCTCTGGTAGGTGGGGCAGCAGAAGACTTGTCCTGACTTCCTGGCGCTTTTGAGGACAGACACATGGCCAGCCAGCCTATCTCACTGTTCACCAGGTGCTTTGACACGGTGGGGTGATGAACAACAACAGAAACTCTCCACAGTCATTGGCAAGAACCAGGTCAAACGATATCGGGTTACTTCCCACGGGAAGGCCCTGCAGTGAAGAACACTGTGTTTATCAGACATGAATGGCTGGGAGATTACGTCACTGGACATAACAGCACCCACATGCTAACACCTGCTACACCCAAAGTGGGCCCTGTTTAGCATCTGCTTTTCTTATGTTGATGCATTGTTCTGGCCGAGCTAGCTTGAAACGATTTAGGAAAGCACCCTGAGCATTGCTGAGCAGAGATAGCACCACATACGGATGTAGAGGCATTGTTGAGTCAAGCTCTACATGGGATGTTCTGCCAAATGGTTCCCTTCCCTTCCTTTTCTCATTTCCTTGTTCTCCTTCCTACCAGAGAATGCTAATCCCTTTATTTGTTTATGCACAAACTGGTGACTTTCCAGACCTGCTATAAATGACATCTGGCCATTAGACTTTTCTGGAAAGGGACAGCAAGAGAAACTGATAATTGACTTCCTGCATGATGACTTGATGGCAGTTCGATTGGTCCCCTTGGACATGTAGATTTTGATTTTGCTGTGTTCAGAATATGGATAGCACTGTACTAATAGCTGCCTTATTGCTAGCAAAAAGGAAAACAATACAGCTTCTTTAATTCTTGTCTTTTATTGAAAAATTGATTTCAATGCCTATTTCAGTTCTACTTCAACTCTAGAAACAACATATTTGCAATGTTTTGCTCATCCAAAGCAGCAAGCTTCTGATGTTTCATTCACAACACATTAAAAAAAAGCAGCCACACAACTGCCTGGAAGGAGAAAAGTGTATTCGGAGGCTTGTATTACAGTTTGTAATGGATAAAAAATGTGTTGATCATTTATGCATGTCTCCACGTCAAAGCTCACAGAAGTCCAGGATCAACCATGCATTTTATAAATGTGGAAAAGGAGTAGTTTTCTCACTGATGGATTAGTTGAGTGTTCTCTCAAGAGCACTACAGTGGAACCAGAGGAACTCTTAGAGGAACTCTTCTTGGATTTAGGAGTTGTGGTGCATGAAAAGCTGTGCATGAGCCAGCGGTGTGTGCTTGCAGCCCAAAAAGCCAACAGCATCCTGATGCTCTGCGTCAACAGAGAGGTAGAAGCAGGGAGAAGGAAGGGATTGTCCCTCTCTGCTCCTCATGCCTGGAGTGCTGCATTCAGATCTGTACCGTCAGCACAAGGAGGAATCGGAGTAGTTGGAGCGGGTCCAGAGGAGGCCATGAAGATGCTTAGAAGGCTGGAGCACCTCTCCTATGAAGAAAGGCTGAGGGAGCTGGACTTGTTCAGCCTGGTAAAGAGAAAGCTTCAGGAAGACCTCACTACAGTCTTCCAGTACCGAAACAGAGCATATAAGCAGGAGGGAGACCAACTTCTTACGCAGTCTGATAAAGCAAAAGAGGAATGGCTTGAAACTAAAAGAGTGGAGATTTAGGTTGGATGTTAGGAAATTCATTACACAGAGGGTGGTGAGACCCTGGCATAGCTGCCCAGAGAAGCTGTGGTGCCCCATCCCTGGAAGTGCTCAAGGCCAGGTTGGTTGGGGTCCTTGGGCAGCCTCAGCTGGTGAGGGGCAGCCCTGCCCACAGAAGGGGATTAGGATTGGGAGAATTTTTAAGGGCCCAGTCAATCCAAGCCATTCTGTTGTGATTCTACGACTTGAGATGGTAAGCTGCAATTCAGGAGGCCTTACACCCTGCAATCTACTTTTTAAACTGTATACTCGTTGACATGAAAGCATGCACACATTTCAGACACCACTGAAGAGTGTGGTGCTCTGGCACAGGAGAAAAAGCAACTATCTGCCACACTGCTAACTAAGCATGGAGACACCAAGAGACAGCACTTTCATTGTTGGATTCCAAAAATTCCTCAAAATTAAGTATGTAGGAGTAAATTCTAGGCTTTGTTCAGGATCTCTTTGCCTTGTAGATGTGGTAACTGGAATTTTCATTACAGTTTCTTTCCAGGCTAGTACAGCTTTTTCTGCTTGTTCATGGCACTAACTGGTGAGAGAGATGGTGCTCGTCTGTCCTGCATAACTCCCTCCAAAAGCTGTACTCACTGCCATGAACAGCAGTAACCCCAGGGATCGTCACCTTCCCTGATGCAGCTGGGCATCTCAGAGCAGAATACTAGAGTTATACTCCCAAGTACAGCTGCAAGCATCCAGGGGGTTCCTGTATCTTTTTTTCCTCCACAGAAAACAAATTTTCTGCTTTACCTATTAATGTGCTTATTGCTGTTATTGTGGGCTTTCAAAGAATACTACCATAATGTTATTACTGCAGATAAAGCAGTATGTGTGTATATATAGATAGGTAGATATTATATACAGGCCTGACTTATAAGGAGTCTTTTCAGTCGCCTAACCAACATCTGACACATGGGAGCTAGTGCCCTTAAAACACTCCCATTCATTCCCCTGCTGCATTTGGGTTCCTCCCTTGCCTCTGTTCCCTCTCTCATTCATTTTCCCAGGGTATTTCTGTATTCCCACTTCCTTTTTCCCATTCAACCTATGTCTTTGTTCCCACCCCTTTTCCATGACATACTTACCCTCTGCTTGAAGTAGGAGCAAATTCTAGTCCTGGTGAAGAGCTGTTTGAAACCAAGTTAGGGACTCTCTAATTACTCTTAATAATGTCCCAAATATGCAGGTTGCTATGACCCTCTCCCCCCACTCCCACCAGTTCTACTGCTCCCCTTCAAAGAGCCTTGCTACAACCCCACTTTGCATCACAGGGTAATTGTGGTTGCTGGAGCCCACGCAAATAAAATTGCTCTGGTCACAACCAGTCCTGATCTTAGCTGGGCACATGAGTGCATGTCAAAATGATTTTTCACTGTTAATCTCTTTGGAAAGTGTTGGCGTCAGGATGTAGTGCTGATCCCTATACACACAGGGTCAGAAGCATGAAAAGTACAGCACATTCCCATTCAGGTACAGGGAAGTGCAGAAGCATAGTTCAGCTATTTGTTTCCACACAAAAATAATACATATTTTTTTAAAGTAAAGGCTGTTTTAGAATGGCATGAAACTCGGAAACCTCAAACTCCAGCTGCCTCACTGCTTTACTTGTGAGCAACACCCACAGGCATGCAGAGATTCTTCAGTATCTTGACTTGTGACGCTACCTCTTGGGAAATGCGAGCATAAAAATGCAAAAAAAAAAAAAAAAAAAAAAGAAAAAAGAAAAAAAAGATCTGAACTTGTATTAAAAAAACAATTATCCCCATCTTCTTATCTCAGAATCCAAGTAAAAGGCTATGGACTTCACATATGGACATACAGTAGACTATTTCATCAAAATGAAACTAGCGAGTTTGGCACCAGTTTGAGAATTTTATTAAAACCACAGGTCTCCGTTTTGTACAAAACTGAGGAGCTTTCTTTTTTTAAAAGCTTATTGACCACACCAGAAATAATGCAGTGTAAATGGTTTGTTAATAAAAATCTTTCTGCAAGCTATATACAGGATGAATACCACACAACTGTATAAATGTAAAGACTCTGGGCAACTTCAGCAATATATACAAACTATCTTTAAACACATAAATATGGTATTTACAGCTAATAAATAACATTCAAGGCTAAATCATGTGTCCCCATGTAAAAGAACCTTCATTATTTTGAATCCAAGTTCCGTATGTGTTTGTATTAGATCCTGTATTAAAGGCATACCTGTTTACACAAATTTTATTTCCAGAGAGCTTTCACTCTTAAAGAGAAAACTGCAACAGAATGTCAAGTCTAGAGAGAATGTATCATTGTATTTATTTTTAGAGGCCCCAAAAGCAGTGGCTCAATTCTCAGCCCCACCCTCAGTGACTCATCCTATCTCTGCCATAGTGAGGAAATCAAATGTAAGCAGTTTTGGAGTTATTAATATTCCAACGTATTGCACTGTTTAAAACTTTTATCCCCATATATACTAGCAGCCATGGCTAGGAAGAAAACAACTGTGCACATACATGTATTTCTGTTGGTTTTATATCAAATATAGGATCTTGGAGCCTCCACATTTTGTCTTGCACATGTGGACAAAGACTGAAAACCAGCACCAATAGCTCACATTCTCACACTTCTCCAAATGCCTACCTTCAAACACTTCTACCTCCCCAGTTTTTTTGTTTATTGCCTAGAAAGCTAAAGGCTATTGTTTTTGGGTTTTTTTTGTTTTTTTTTTTTTCCAAGCTAAGAAAAGCTTTGCATTACTTAAAGAAAGGAAAAGCAAAAAGCCTTCAATACATCTATTTTTGGCGACTCACAGCATATCTAATTTAAGTGTTTTTCAGAGCATTCATTTTTGTGCATCACAAAATCAGGCTCCTTTAAGTGTCACAGCTCCTGCTCCCTGCTGAATTCCACCTCGGATCAGAAAACCAAGCAACTCCTAGTATGTACCATTCTATCACAGCCAAGCACAGAGGCTGGTCACTGGAAGTCACAATTCCAGCACAGGGAAGCAGGAGTATATTTGTCACCTGTCAACTGGTTTCAGTTGCACCAGAGACTGGATACTGCTGCCAGTCTGCTGAGTGACTGACATTCAGCTTTAAACAGCACTGATGCTCTTAGTTTTGGTATCTCAGATGGAAGTAAATGCATATATATATAAATATATATATATAAATATATATATATGCATCCATATATATCCATTCTCTGCATTTCTTTGTAGCTTAATTCCATTGCTGTTTTTTGGTGACGGAAGTTAGATGACTCCATTCTTGAGGGATGAAAGCATGAATGAAAAGTTGAATGTCTGCAGAGGACACTGGTGTTGCTGTCTTCTCCTATTGCTATTTATTCCAGGATAAACTGCATGGGATTATATATCTTAACAGACTATAATTATTGCTAAAAAGCATTGGCATCTACACCCAATAAACCACATTCATAACCACAACCCAAAAGATTCATCCCCATATTGAACCAGTCCCTGACATCTCTTTATAGCTTTACACACAAGGGCATTTTTTCCATGAGAAAACTACTCACTTGCCAAACACACACTTAAAGACAATGAATTCTAGCCGCTGAACTGTCTGAAAATTCAGTTAGCAAGGCCAGGAGAACAACAACAGTAACAAAAAAAAAAAAAAAAGAAAAAAAAAGAAAAAAGAAAAAAGATCTGCAGTTCCAGGAGATTTCTGTAAAAATATTGGAAACAAAGAACACTAAAAAGAGACCAGGTACAGAAGCTTTGTGTCTTTTCAATAAATACTACAAAACTGATAAAAAGGAGCTGACATCAAGAAACTGTCACAAGGCACCACAATTAAGCAAAATTACTTATTCCTTCCTAACACTCAAGCCTTTGGCAAGTTGTTGCAGGGGTTTCTTTGTTTTTAACTATTCAGATAACGTAACTTTATGGTTAGTAACTTTTTACGCTGAGACTTCCTTACAAGAAGCCTCCTAATATAGCTAGATATAGCAGTCAAAAAAGCCAGCAGCAGATAAATATTTCTATATATTCAGATCTGAACATCCACTTCACAGTGATGAACAGGCTCCCTCCTCCTCCCCAGTGTGGAAATTCTCATTCTTGCCACTTTTTAAGCAGACTCATGTGCAGAATTTTCTTTAGAGGCTTTCTTGGCACTGTGGAAAGAAAAAAATAAAATACAGATTTGTTAAAGAGGAGGACATGAGGTGCTTATTTCATTTGTCTTATTGAAGCTTAGGTTTTACAACTATTACTTAGAAGGAGAGTTGTGCGTTTGGGCTTTTCTCGGCCACTGCTGGATTTTACAAGTGTGTGACAAAGACACACCTCTCTCAAGGGTTCACCAGGTCATTGCCCTGGAGTGAGATCCACACTCGTGCTTCAGATCTCAGTCTACAAAAGTCCCCATGAGACCTTTCACTCAAAGCAACTGCACTAAAATAAATATAACCACTTCTTCAGTTCAAACTTTAGTGGACAAAGTCCAAAGAAAATTGGCTTCAAAGCGGAAAGTTTAATCTAGGTCAGAGAAATTACTAACCAAAAAAGAATAATGCACTTGCATGTGTCTGCTTTGCTTTGTACCAGCCTCCAGATCTGCAATTGGCTTGTGAGATGAAAGGGCTCAACACTGACTGAGTGCAGATGCCTGGACATCCCTGCATTAGTGGTGAATCTCAGACATCTTCAGACATAGAGGAAAGCTTTCCTCTATCTTAGTACTTGGTCTGTAAATCCCCTTTGGCTGCTGTAAGAGCGTGAGAGATAGTGACTTGCACTTGCTTTGCAGATGTGCTAACAGCCACACAAGGAGACGGTCAGTAGAGAATGACAGCTGGGGGTTTTAAGCTGCCTAAAGCTGCCTCGGGTTAGATTGAGCTGGGATGCTTCTGAATTTTTTAGATGAGTGCAGAGATCGGCCAAATCTTGAAAGTTGTATGAAATCCCCCCACGGCCTTAAGACAATAATGCTCACTCTTACCCTCCCCTTTTCCTGCTGACGGGCTGCTCAAGGCACTTCACAAATATTGCTGCCTCTTCTCCTTTACCAAGACGTGAGCTGCCATCTCGAGAACAGAATACCACCCTGTTAAAGAAATACTGGACATTCAGATCACCCTATTTTAATTGTAGAAACAGTACGTCAAACAGCAGTATTCACACAACCGTGTGGGTACTACTACTTTAAAAGCCTGTGAGAATCACTGGCAGAAAACTGTTAGAAAAGATTGTCAAAGAATCTCTATGCAAGAAAAACTGGGAAAACACATCAGATACAGATTTCAAACCATAGCCTAAGTTTCATTAGTCTTCTGCATAAAAATCTTTAGGGTAAGAGAGCAGAGCTCTACCACAACCTTCCATACCTTCTTTATTTACTACAGTCATATGACTTTTTCCTCCAGGTTAATGATCTTGGAAGAAAGCCTTGCTCCCTTCAATATTTGCACTGAGTCGGTTGCCAATTCCAGCAAACCTAAGCAGTTGCTTTTCCATTTATCAGTACTTTCCCAACCCCTGTATTTGTTCAGTTCTGATAACTGCTTTTTGATAAAGGGACAGCCTTGTTTATTTAAAGGAGTAACATGCTATTCATGACACTACACAGGATATGCATATTCTCTGTTCCAGATATATTTTTTGCTAACATTTCACATCTAATGAATCTAAACACTTCAAAAGCACATCTAATGAATCTAAATACTTCAAAAGATTCAGGTGAAAGCAGTACTGATTCAACTAAGTGCTGTTCTAGCATTCATGTATTAGCAATATCCTGCAATATTTACGTGTTTATGCTTCCACCCAGCCACTCAGCTAACCTCAACTCCCAAGAAAACCCAACTCACTATCTCCCAAGCAAATGCACTTTTTAGAAACCTTTCCAAAATCTGTGTCTTTGAAAGAAAACCTGTGCAAACATCGAGCAAATGAAAGGAGGAAACGAACTGCAAACGTGATCAGAGCTGCTCACTCATGGAGATCCTCTGTTACATACTGTAAGCAATCTGAGGCAAGTGAGCAGAAGGATGCAAATGAATCCTGTGGGAGTGAAATTACAGACTGCAAATCCTAGTGAAAGAAAACAGCTGAAACTGGCTGAAATAAATGCAGGTTTGTCGCTGCAGGAGTCTTGACTATCAGTGCTGCACTCATTTGTAACTGTTTTCCATGTTTTGTCCCGCCCTGTGTGATACTAGGAATAAGGAAACACTGGCAAGTACAATTCAAGGCAATCAAAGCAAGTTACTTTTTCTGAGTTTCGCCTGACTTCACTCTGACTCTCTGGATGGTGAATGCAAATGGAGTCCACCAGTCTGACCAGCTGAAGAAGGTATCTTTCTCCCACTGCAGCTTTAGCATAAGCAGGTCACCAATGTCCACTTCGGTGTAGATCAAGAAGGAGAAGGTCTTGTTGGAAGAGACTTCAGGCCTGTAAGGAATCAGAGAAAAAAAAAAAA